TCAAAACTGCCTTCCACTAAAAATCCATAAATTTGTGTAATTTGTTCAGGGAAGTAAAGGAAGAATTGTTACACCACATTATTAACATTATCAAGAAACAAGCACTTAACAGCATAAACGGTAAGTAATATTCTTCCATGATAGTACACAGGACATGGAGATACAGGTCTGCATATTCTAGACTTCACTGGTTTGAGTGACCCAGTTTCATGATCTGGTTGCCTAGGGAAGGGGCTGGATAGTGTAAATGACAAGAGATATCTGATATGATGGCAGAAACAAATCAAAAGTAGAAAAGCAGGATAACAACTCTAAATGGAGAGATGGGGTTCTGAAAAAGAGGTAAAAGTGAGCTCAGTTCTAGAAGTTTATGTACAAATTTAATGTAACAACTTTGTACAGTAATGTATGTTTCTATCAAATTATTATAACATGGAGAAGACACATAAACTTCAATATTTTGCTTCGTTCAAATGTCTTGTCATTTATTAATGGATGCCAATGCAACATATTGGACATAAATAATTGCATAATGTTATACATTTCAAAATGTAATAATTTGATGTGCTGGTAGCATAATGTTATACATTTCAAAATGTAACAATTTGATGTACTGTTTAGACTTTAATGAGTTGTCGGCTGAACATACATACAAGCAATGGAAATGAACACCTTATTGCTCCACAACATCAATCTTGATCTTAATATTGACCGAAGCCAACTGTGCAACTAAATAACGGAAAATATATGGCATCTCAACTTCCTCCACCTTTCCCTTCTCCTGACACACCTTACAATGAACCTCTTGTTCATACTGACCTCCACGCTGCTGTGCTGTAACCAATGGAGACAGGATGCTGCCACACGTCTTACAGAGCAACATCTGTAAAGTTTCATACTTAGGGTTACGATCTCATTACCGAATTTAATACACAACTCTCAAATGTTAATAACTTGTACTATCATAAATGTAAATACAAAGTTATCACAAATGAAGTACAAACTATTAAAAATTTATTCTGAAAAAATGAACAGTCCTGCAGAAAACAATATCACTGGAAACTGCACCTCAAAATTATTTTGGTTTTATAGATTCTTACACGTGATTTAACAACTGAGACAATGGAACTTTTACAGTTCCAGTTTCAATTGCTATTAATACAACTTTTTAGCACAATTTGACAAGGACAGATCCAGTCCTTGAAACGTTATGTAATTTTATGACATCAGATGATGGACAAAATCCAAAAACCAAACAATCCATAAAGGCTTCTATAGTTTCACAGTAAAGGCATACCTTGTTTTGCATGGGCTATGTATTTCTGGACACAAGATGCAGTTGTATGGACATTTGTTATATTTGGATAAAAAAAAAAGAAATCCTGTGAAAGCTTGAAATATGAAAATGTTGACTGAACAACACTGTGGAGATGTAGACCACTGTGAAAGTGTGAAGGGATGAAATGAGGTAACCTAGTATGGGAAGAATGGACAAAGATAAAAGATAACTTATGGGAGAGAAAAGAATAATTTGTCACGGTCTGGTGGAAACATTATTAGATGATTAAGATTTGCTCACTG